ACATCGACATCCCTGGCAGCGAGTAATTATTAATTTTCCTTTTTAAATTTGGGATTCATGATAAAGCAGTACCTTAGCTTTTTCTTCTTTAATTTTCTTTCAGATATCTACCTACTCCATCCAATCTTCGGATATGGAAGCTTGACAGAAAAATGAAGAAAACAGTAAGGCAGATCATAGAGAGCAGGCTGCAGAAATCTCGAACAATAATAGGCAGTTCTTCAGATTGTTGTTTTGGAGATGATCTACTTGGCCTGATGATTGCAGTCTCAGAAACAAATCAAGCAGAGCTGAAGTTGAGTATGAATGACATTATAGAACAATGCAAAACATTCTTTTTGGCTGGGTATGAGACCACTTCTAACCTGTTAACATGGACAGTGTTCTTGTTGAGCAAACACAAGGAATGGCAGGAAAAACTCAGAGAAGAGGTGTTGAACGAGTGCGAGACAGGAATTCCAGATGCTAAAACGTTGGCTAAGCTGAAACTGGTAAGACATCATGCATTATTTTCTTCCCATTCAATTGCCTGACTTTCCAACAGACTGATCATCCGAGCAAGCATTTTGTCAGGTAAATATGGTTCTTTTGGAGGCCCTGAGACTATACAGCCCAATCATAGCCTCAGGTAGACAAGCATTAAAAGATATGACAATGGGGAATTTAATGATTCCAAAGCATACAATTTTAATAATTCCGCATGTGCAAATGCACAGAAGCAAAGAATACTGGGGAGAAGATGCAACTGAGTTCAACCCTTTGAGATTCATGAATGGGGTATCCAAAGCAGCGAAGCACCCAAATGCTCTTCTTGCCTTCTCCATTGGCCCTAGAGCTTGTATTGGACAGAACTTTGCAATGTTGGAAGCCAAAACTGTGCTTGCCTTGATTCTCCATAGGTTTTCTTTCACCCTCTCCCCCGAGTACAAACATGCTCCTACAGACAACCTTTTTTTACAGACTCAACACGGCCTCCCTGTTGTCTTCAAACCTCTGAACATGTAAGACTCATTCACACTATGTACCACTATTATAATTGACTGTGATTGTTAGTTATGTTGTACTTTAAGCCATTGTAATTATACTGATTGATCCCATACTGGGAATATTTCTAGACTTCAAGAAAGCAGAAACCTTTCTACTTATTTTTTCTTCTCCCCTTTGTTTTTCTCACAGGTGAGACTTGACTTTTGTGAGTATCAGTAAATATCTAGGAAGGCAGCAATTTAGTGTTTTAAAGCTACTTTTCAATTGTACTTAACATTTTGTAGCTTTTTGAACTAATGAAAATATGTAAGATTATGTTCTCTTTTGTTGATTAAGAAAAAAAAATTATGTTTTGTTCAGCTATAATTTCGATGAACATATTTGAACCAAAATCTTCATAGACCTTCATGGAACTCCCTCATAAATTCAAACGAAGCTATAGCAATATGGTAATGCTCTTACTAAGTTGACTTGATAGATTAAACTAAGCTAAGTTTTGCATTGTACATGGCTTTCATAAAAAATTAATCTGGGTCAAATATGATATGGAGCTTTACTTCATTTTCAGCTTTGCAATCAGCTAGTGTCCTATGCAAGCTCACGGACAATAAGCTAAATACAGTTTAGCTGAAGATTTTAATGTGTTTAACCTAGTGATTCATCAATTGTATCAGTATTTGTCTAATTATATGCAAGCAATGCAATGAGAATGTGCAGTCAAGAGTCTAAAATGCAACCAACAGAAATAGGAAGTAGGCAAGCATCAAAAATCAAAACATACCGTATGGAAAATCATTAGGCATTGAATAGAAATAAGAGAACGAAAGAATTTACTAAAATTCTCATTCTATATTGCTACAATTATGCATAATGAATTAGAGAAACTTAACATCCAACGATCAAAAGAAAAAAAAAAAAAGAGAGAAACTTAACACCCTTTGAATTTATAAGAATCAAACACTAACTAATTAAAGTCAAGGCTCCATATACCATTTCAAATTGGAATTCTCAAACTGCTATTTCGAACCCTCAATCTGTAGATAGTCCTAAATTCTTATAAGTCATCACAAGATTTTTCAAGCCAATTTGGCATACAGAAATTAACAAATATTTGTTGTATTTTCTTCAATTTTAGTTCAAAAAACCCAAAACGTAGAATTTAGAAATTAAAACAATGAAAGAACTGAAAGTGAACATGACATTGGAACCTGAAAATGGACTATGGATTTGATGCGGCTTTTACTTTGTCCAAATGAGGCACTTCCTCCATCATGAGTGTAGAATCCATTGTCAGAGTCAAAGATCCTTATTTTGGTATGCTGAATTGAAGCACAACAGCCCAGTTTTCAGAGAATGGAGAAGGCTGAAGACAAGAACCGAATTTTCAAGATAGGAATTTATTATTAATTTTCAAAAAAATTACCATTTTGGACTGAATTTCAAAATGGACTGATGAAATTTCCAAGACCAGAAAAGCAAAATACTTTGGATGAATTTCTGCAATGATAATGACTGATGAATATGCTACTGAGCCAAACAGCAGCCGCAAAACGGTTGCTGTGAATTAGCATATGTGCATAGCCAAACAACAGGCAGAGTTGAAAACAATCAGAAGGTTCTATTTCTCTTGCCTCAGAAATGACCTCATATTCAGACATGAGAAAGACGCAACCATGCGTAGATCCTTCACTCTTTGAACTTATAAAAGCAGTGTCGCCACCACAGTCTTCATCGGTCTAATCTATATTTACAGGCAGCACTACTAGCGCTCTCTAAATGGGCTCTGCTATTTTTGCCATATTTCCATTGCTGATCCCGTTTGTAGTCTCAAAGCTTCTGCAAGTTTTATGGTTCACTTTTTGTTAGCCATATTCCTTGACTAGAAGATTCAAGAAGCAAGGAATCACTGGAATACATAACAAACTTCTTTCTGGCTCCCTTAATAAGATAAAGAGAATGAAGAAGGATGCAAGAGAAATTATTCTTGACACAGATTCAAATGATATTGTTCAGAAGGTCCTTCCTCACTACCACAGATGGTCTTCAGGATATGGTTTCTTTCTTTCTTTCGGTTTTGACACTGTTGGTTAACAACAGTGTACTGATATTCAATATTAATGTCACAGGAGAGACTTTGCCATATTGGCATGGAACAGAACCGCATCTCTTCATTTCAGACCCCAAACTGGCCAAACAAATACTATCAAACAAGTTTGGCTTTTATGTTAAACCTTGAGTCAGTCCTCCATTGTTGACAATGACAGGGAAAGGACTGGTGTTTCTTGGGGGACAGGACTGGGTTAGGGACAGCAGAATCATCAATCCTGCCTTCTCTATTGACAAACTCAAGGTTATGGTAAAGAGGATGGCAGCCTGTGCCATATCTGTGGTTGAAGAGTGGAATGATCAAGTTACCTTGGCTGAATATGGATGCCTAACAATAGAGACGAATGCAGAATTTCAAGGACTCACTGCCAACATAATCACCCATACTGCCTTTGGAAGTAACTATGTGCATGGAAAGGAGTTGTTTCAAGGACAAAGACAGCTTCAGTAGTTGTGTGCTGCTGCAACTGCTAACATCTTCATCCCCGCAGCTAGTGATTATTATCAGAGTCTGAAAATTTAATCTTCTTCTCTAAATTTGAGACCCGTCATAATGCACTGAAACTTTGTTATTTTTCTGTATGCTTTTAAGTTATCTTCCAACTCCATCCAATCTTCAGCTATGGGAGCTTGACAAGCAAATGAAGAGATCACTAGAGCAGATCATAGACAGCAGGCTGCAGAATTCCATAACAAATATGAGCAATTCTCCAGATTGTTGTTTTGGAGACAATCTACTTGGACTGATGGTTGCAGCCTCGGAAACCAAACAAATCAAAGGAGACCTGAGGTTGAACACTAATGAAATCATTGAAAAATGCAAAATATTCTTCTGTGCAAGGCATGTGATCACTTCCAACCACTATGTTCTTGTTGAGAAAACATAAGGAATTGTTGGGAAAAAGGGCGCAACGGAATAAACTAATTTCTGTTAACAAAATATGTCAACAATAACAAAGAATCGTGAAACAAGCGGCTTTGCCGACCAATATTAACAATAGTGATAAAGATGACGTAACCAGCCAAGAAAAATAAAATGGGGGGGTTAAACAACCAACTAAAAAAAAAAAAAAAAAAAAAAAGAAAAGGACCAGTTAAACAACCAACCAAAAAAAAAAAAAAAAAAAAACAACAAAATTTAAACGGAAAAAACCCCAAAAAATAATGAAGGAAAAAACCATAGGACAAACTTCGAAGGATATTCCACTATGTGATAAAATTGTATAGAGTATACACCCAAGTATTTTCTCTTTCTTGGTGTTTCCTACTCCTCCCAAGATATGATCACAATCTTGATAAACTCACAATTTTATCACTCAATGCATTCTCTCTCTATGAAGCACACTCATACCTAAGCTTAATGCCTAGCTCTCACCCCTTTCTTTTCTTCCACCCGAGCTCTCACTTTACTCACTTGGTGCTGCACTCTTGCTTCTTGCTTGCTTCCTCATTGCCTTGCCATTGCGTGGATATTTATAGATGGAGAAACCAACCACCCATGTAATTTTTCTTCACCTCACTAAATGAGGTTTATTTACAATTAATGGTTGAAATAACCATTGTAAATATTCAACAATGGCTATTGTAGCATACGGCCTTTTGCAATAAGATGGTAGAAATGGGGTTGGACTTTCATGGGCTGGAACTGGAAACTTCTGCCAACAATCTCCCCCTCTAGCCCCATGGGAGGAGACTTAAATCCCAACTCTTTACTTGGAGTCCATCCCGACTAGCTCCGTGCAATATTCAAACTTTTCTCTAGGAAGAACTTTCATCATCATATTAGCAACATTGTTGTTTGTGTGAATCTTTTTGAGTTGAAATTGCTTGTTCTATATCACCAAGCGCAACCAATGATATCTCACATCTATATGTTTTATTCGGGCATGGTACATGGTATTGTTGCTCAAATCTATAGCACTTTGGTTGTCACAAAATACTATGTACTCTTTCTGCTTCAATCCCAATTCTTGAAGGAATCTCTTCATCCAAAGCATCTCTTTACCAGCTTCTATAGTTGTAATGTATTCAACTTCTGTTGTTGACAAAGCAACACACTTTTGCAATTTAGATTGCCATGATACAGCTCTCCCTGCAAAGTAAATAAATACCCTGAAATAGATTTTCTATTATCAAGGTCACCTGCCATGTCTACATCTGTGTATCCCTTTAGAATTGGTTCAGTTTGCCCAAAAGTCAAACACAACTTGGTAGTTCCTCTTAGATATTTAAAGATCCACTTAACAGCTTCCTAGTGAATCTTGCTTGGATTAGACAAGAATCTACTCATGACACCAACAGCTTGAGCAACGTTTGGCCGTGTACATACTATTGCATACATCAATGAACCAACCGTAGAAGAATAAGGAATATATGACATTTTCTCCTTTTTTTTCTTTGGTATTTGGACAAGATTGTTTGCTTAGCTTGAAGTGATTTGCAAAAGGAGTGCTAACTGGCTTAACATGTTTCATGTTGAACCTTTCAAGCATCCGTTCAACATACTTCTCCTGTGATAACCACAGCTTCCCAGCTTTTCTATCACGGGTAAGTCATACCCAAAATTTGCTTTGTTGGTCCCAAGTCCTTCATGTCAAGACTTGATAACTCTTTTTTTAACAAGCAAATTTTCTCAACATCTTGTCCCAAAATCAGCATATCATCAACATATAACAAAAGGATAATGAAGTTGCCATTAGGGAATGATTTGATGTAGACACATGGATCTGCATTTGTTCTTTTATAGCCATGACTTGTCATAAAAGAGTCAAACTTCTTTTACCATTGTCTTGGAGCTTGCTTTAGTCCATACAAGCTCTTATTCAACTTGCAAACCATTTGCTCCTTCCCTTTTTCTTCAAAACCTTTTGGTTGATCCATATAAATTTCCTCATGCAAATCACCATGAAGAAATGCAATTTTCACATCTAACTGCTCAAGCTCAAGATTCATGCTTGCTGCTAGACCAAGCACAACTTGAATTGAGTTCATTTTCGCCACTGGGGAAAATATTTCATCAAAATCAATCCCCTTTGACTAACTGAAGCCTTTAACCACCAACCGAGCCTTATATCTAACTCTCTTGTCACCATCTTTCTTGAGCTTGAACACCCATTTGTTCTTCAAGGTTTTTCTTCCTTTGGGAAGTTCCACAAGCTCATAAGTATTGTTCTTATGTAGGGAGTTCATTTTTTCCTGCATGGCCTTCATCCAATAGTCTTTGTCTTTATGAGACTGTACCTCATGGAAGTTCTCTGGCTCCCCCTCTTTAGTGATCAAGAGATAATTAGAATTGGGGTATCTTATAGATGGTTTGTGCTCTCTAGTGGACCTTCTCAACTGAGGTCCACCCTCTTGTGGTGAGTGTTGCTCCCCCTGCTCATTACTTCCTCCATCTACACTTGCTTCATCTTCTTCAATTGTTGGCTCCTTTGTCTCATCTTCTGGTACATGCACATCTTCTTCATTTGCAATTTTTCTTGAAGGAGTTTTTGCTGGTGTTAGATCTTCTACACCTTCTCTAGAGCATCTTGTAGCTTTTTCCTCTTTTAAATCATTAATTTTCTTTTTAAATCATTAATTTTCTTCTTGTAGCTTTTTCCTTCTTCAAATAATTAATTTTCTCTTGTTCATGAAACATGACATCTGTACTTCTGACAGTTTTCTTCTTTTTAGGTCCTATAGTTTGTAGCCAAACTCCTTATCACCATATCCAACAAAAATGCATGGAATGGCTTTATCATCCAACTTTGATTTGTGTTCCTTTGGCACGTGCATAAATGTTTTGCATCCAAACACTGTCAAGTGAGAGTATCCAACAACCTTTCTCATCTAATCTTTCTTCGGGATTTTAAAGTTCAAAGGAACTCTAGGCGATCAATTGATCAAATACATTGCTGTGTTGACTGCTTCACCCTAGAATGGCTTAGGTAGAGTTGCCATTCTTAACATGCATCGGACTTTCTCCATAATGGTACGATTCGTCCATTCTGCTACACCATTGTGTTGTGGAGTGCCAGGAACTGTCTTCTCATGCCTTATGCCATGCTTGGAATAGTAGTCTTTGAATTCTTTGGAGGAGTATTCCCCTCCATTATCTATACGAAGATATTTTAGCTTTAAACTTGTCTCCCTTTCCACCATAGCATGGTAATGCTAGAAATACTTAAAAACTTGGATTTTATTTTGCAACAAGTATACCCAAGTTTTTTGAGTTGCATCATCAATAAAGATAACAAAATATTTATTGCCACCAACTGACTCTGCCTCCAAGGGACCACAAACGTCAGAGTAGACCAAGTCTAGCTTATTCTCCTTCTGAGTCAAATTCTTCTGAAAAGAAACTCGGTGTTGCTTTCCAAATAGGCAAACATCACAAGGATTCACATTTTCATTTTTGGTAATAGGAATAAGAGACTGCTTAGCCAAAAGTTGCAATCCTTTCTCACTCATGTGAGCTAATCTATTTTGGAGAAGCCTCATCTTCAACTGTGCTCGGTTAACCTCCACACATTTTCATGTGTGTCTTGTATAATGAACAACATGCTCTCCCTTTTGCCACCACCATTGATCCTTTGGTGAGTTTTTAGTTGCCATTCCCGAAGTAATGTGCGTATCCTTTTTCATCCAGTGCATTTGCAAACAATCGATTCATACACATATTAGGAACATGTCGCACATTTTTCAGTGTCAATGTGCACCCAACATTTGTCTGGACACAAATATCACCAACTCCCATAATATGAGAAACACTTTTCTTTCCCATTTTTATGGTGCCAAAGTCTCTTGCTTTGTATGTTGAAAAATATTCCCTTTTGGGAACACAATGATAAGAGGCACCAAAATCAATTATCCACTCGGCATCTGAGTTTTCTGCATGGCAGCACTCCCCACAATCACATAGTAGAGTCACGTCACCACCACTAGTAGATGCTACAGTGATAATATTGTTACCTTCAACCTTTTTCTTGTCTTTTTTGTTTCAACAAGTTGTAGTTCCTTTTTATGTGGCCTGACTGGCCACAATGATAGCACTTCACTCTACTTTTTGATTTTGATCTGGATCTGCCTCCTCGTCTTTTGGGTTCTCTGGTTTTACTCCTGCCCCTATTCTTCATGACTAGAGCTTGAATATCTGATTGTGAGAAGATTCCCAGTGCCCGCATCCTTTTTTCTTCTTCAAAGATCCTGTTTGTGGTGATTTCCAATGTGACTTTACCACCAGCAAAAGAGTTGATCGTTGTTAATCTAAAACTCTCCCATGATTTTGGCAAGGTGTTGAGAAGAATCAGACCATTCACCTCATCATCAAATTCTATGCCCAAATTGACTAACTCCTTGATGATGCCAAGGAAATCATTAACATGGTTTGCTATAGGAGTGCCATCTTTGTACCTTGAGTACATCAATTGCTTTATATGGCACAATTTATTCTGCCCAGTCTTCGCCCAAGAAAGCTCGTCTAGCTTTGTCCATAGTGTGCATGCATTAGTGTCATCATTGATATGATTTAGCACATTATCATCAATCCCCTACCAGATAAATCCACACATTCGCCTATGGAGCAACCTCCATTCTTCATCCTTCATGTTGTCTAGCTTTTGCTCTAAAAAGACAGGCTCATGAAATTCCTTCACATAGAGAAGGTCCTCCATTTTTCCTTTCCACAACTAATAGTTTGAACTATTCAGCGTGATCATTTTGCTCTGATTCACCTCTATTGTTCACATGAATATTAGCAGCGCCTAGCTCTGATAATAGTTGTTGTGAAAAATGGCGCAACGGAATAAGCTAATTCCTGTTAACAAAATAAGTGAACAATAATAAAGAATGGTGAAATAGGCAGCCTTGCTGACCAATGTTAATGTTAGTGATAAAGGCGGCATAGCCAGCCAAGCAAAATAAAATTGGGCAGTTTAACTAGCCACTTAAGAAGAAAATAAAATATAAAATGCAATGGGCGGTTTAATTAGTCACCTAAAAAAAATAGATAAAAAGACAACACCAAATTTTATGTGGAAAAACTTCCAAAAACTATTGAGGAAAAAAACCACGGGACAAACTCCGAAGGGTATTCCATTATGTGATAAAATTGTACAAAGTATACACTCAAGTATTTTCTCTCTTTTGGTGTTTCCTACTCCTCCCAAGATATGATTACAATCTTGATAAACTCACAATTTTATCACTGAATGCTCTCTCTCTCTATGGAGCACACTCACACCTAAGCTTAATGCCTAGCTCTCACCCCTTTCTTTTCTTCCACCCAAGCTCTCACTTTGCTCACTTGGTGTTGCACTCTTGCTTCTTGCTTGCTATTGCATAGGTATTTATAGATGGAGAAATGAACCACCCATATAATTTTTCTTCACCTCATTAAATGAGGTTTATCTACAATGGTTGAAATAACCATTGTAAATATTCAACAATAGCTGCTATAGCTTACAGCCTTTTGCAATAGGACGATAGAAATGGGGTTGGACTTTCATGGGCTGGAACTGGAAACTTCTGCCAACAAGAATGGCACACAAAACTCAAAGAAGAGGTATTGAAAGAGTGCAAGACTGGAATCCTATATACTAATAAGCTGGCAAAGCTGAAATTGGTAAGATATAGATCATATGTTATATTCTTCACAGTGAATTTCAAAAATGCTCTGCTTGCCTTCTCAAATGGCCCAAGGCCTTGTATCGGACAAAACTTTGCTATGTTGGAAGCCAAAAATCTGTGCTTGCTAAAGGTCTTTCTTCTCCCTCTCCCTTGAGTACACACTTAGTCCCACAGACCTCCTTACTTTACAGCCTCAACATGGCCTCCCCATTGTCTTTCACCTCTGAATAGCAAATGATGAGAGCTGACTCTTGTGAATATCTTTAAACATCAAGGGAAGCTGTAAATATAAAGTTACTTTTAAATTGTACTCAGCATTCATTTACTTGACAAACTAATAAAAAAATATGCAAGAATATGTTTTAATTGCTAATCATCATACACACCAATGAAATCCCTCACAAACAAAAAGCAATTTTCAAGCAAAGATTGATTATCATGAGTTTATTATTTAGAATTCCTTAATGATGTCAGTATTGTCAAATGCAACCATGCAGGCAAAGCAATAAGAAATTGCAGTTAAAGGACAGGATCCCAGCAAATTCCTTGCCAACACTTCGGGTGGAATGCTACCAACCGAAATGGCCAGGATCAGAACATTACATATGGACAATCATTAGGTCAGCATTGAATATAAACAGGTGGATCAAAGAACTTAGTAAAAGTATTAATTCTATATTGCTACAAAGTAAAAAGTGCATGAAATAAAACACCATCTATTATGTGGGACTTTTTACCTACCTTTTCAAACCCTCAATGGCTAGAAAGATAGTATTTTTTTTTTTTTTGGGGCAGATACAACTTTGGGATGGGGGATTTGGAAGCCAACCCTTAGGCTGGGATGCACTTAAAACATAATTTATAGTCATGAAGTCGAGAAGGCTAGTTACAGTTAGAACTTAGAAGGATAGTATTAAGAACTTATTTATTAAAAAAAAATCTTAATTCTATATTGCCACAAATCTATATTGCTACAAAGTACAAATATGCATGAAATGAAACACCTTCTATATTTTGGGAATTTCTACCCACCATTTCAAAACCTAAATATCTAGAAAGAGACGATTGAATTCCTACAACTACAAGTATCATAATAATGTTCAAGTCAAACCTTCAGTATTGGAAATTTTTAACAATTGTTTCATGTTCTTCAGATTTTAATTCAGAAAACCCAAAATGTAGAAGAATTCAAGAAGGAAGATTTGGGAAAATTGAAAGGATCTAAATTTGGAACCTGAAATAGAATTTTAACAAATCTCTCCATAATTGGTTTCTACTTCATCGTCTGCATCACGTTAACGTTGTTCCTTCATTCTAAATGTGGAATTCATTGTCTGAGCTACTTATTTTGATATTTTGGGAGGAGACCGAGACGAGAAACTGAATTTTCAAGCCAGAAATTTATTTGTTAATATCAATTTCCCAACTGAATTTTTAAGATTTGGGAGATCAATTTCATGTGGGAACAAGCACTAACCTCTCACTCAACTGAACAAAAATTTATTTATTTATACTAATTTCTCATCAATTTCATTCTGATAACTGAATGTTGAGAAATTAATGTGAAATAAAAAAGTGTAAAAGAACGAGGTATTCGAACCTTCCTTTGATTGCTAAAAAATGCACAGGAAAGTCTCATGAAAGTGAGGTGTTGCACTCTCACCCCAGACTCCATCCCATGTCCCATTGGAGTGTGCACTTAAGAAAGAAAAAATAATAAATTCTCTAGGGCTGTTTATTTTATAAAAGATGAAATCTTATAAACATCATCATGTGCTGCAAAGGGACAATTGAATTAAAAATGATCACTTCTGAATTTTAGAGGCTCATATATGAACAATTTGAATTAGCCTAAAACCTTAAATTACTTTAAGCCAAAAAAAGAAATTTATGCTTAATTAAAAGATTTGTTTCCATCCAAGATTTACTCTGAATAGAAACAAATCATTTTTTTTTTACTAATGTTCTTTCTATTTTTTCTCTCATAATCTCCTAAATCATGGCATATCCAAGGGGAAAGGAAACCTGTCCTTTTAGAAAGCAAAATCAAATTGAAAGATTCAAATCTTATCCGAAGTTTTGTCCCTAAGAAAGCGGTTGCACCCTGATTTTTTTCAGAAAAAATAGCAGCCACAGGCTTCGCCCTCAATGCCCACTGCTCCTTCACGTCAACCCATTACTTTTTTTTTTTTGAGAAAAGAGAGATCACGTTAACTTTTTTTTTTAAATATATGAGATATAGTATGAGTTTTAACTTTTTTTTTTTTTAATACGTCAACCCTTTATTGCAATAGAAATAGAAGATGAGGTATTTGGGTGAAAAAAGAGAGAGATGAGAGAGAGAGAGGTAGAGAGAGAGTGAGAAGGGATCGAGGCGGACATCGTTCACGGGCAAGACAGACGGCACTGAACCAGGAGCATGCTAGATCTCGACGAAGAAGCCACCAAAGGAACAGGGAGCCAATGGATTTAGGGAAAATGCAATATGATCAATATCAAGGTCGGAAATTGCAGAAAGATGGACCATACACAACTGGGGCCTTTACAAACAAGCCACAGCATACTTCTTTACCAACTGCCTGGATGACTGGAGCTATGAAGACATGTGGAGAACGTTCTTGAAATATGGTCGAGTGTACGACATCTACACTCCAAATAGAAAAAGCAAGAATGGGAGTAAATTTGACTTCGTGAGATTTTTGGGTGTGATAGATAAGAAGGAATTAGAAAGCAAGCTGGATTAGATCTAGGTAGGACGTCAAAAGCTATGGGTGAATAGGCCAAGGTATGATGATGAAAAGAAGAAAGTATGGGAGAAAAGAAGCAGTAGAGGAACGATGATAATGGCCCAAAAATAGAAGCTACACAGAGGTGGTGAAAGGAATACAAGAAAACAATGCGGTTGAGGAACAGAGCATACAAAGTGAGGCTGATTGAAATAGATGCCGAAGAATTGATATTGAAGATAAGAAGTATACAGGGCAAGACAAACAAGGGAGATATAGATGTAGAAACAGACATGGATACTAGTAAACAACAACCAGGAGAGTATGGAAGGAAAGAGGAATGAGAGAAAACTGGGCCAGCATGGAGTATAACATCAAACCCGAAGAGTATGCATGGCTTGATGGCTATTACGTTGGAACAGTGCACTCCATGGAGATGGTACGAAATTTGCAAGAAAAATTTTACATGGAATGGTATTTTTCTTGTCAAATTCGAGCTATGGGAGGCAAAATGGTCCAATTAACATGTGAAGACAAAGAGGAACTGAAGGACTTGGTTGAAATGGCATCAGATTGGCTAAGACAATAGTTTGAAGAGGTGCGTCTGTGGACACCAAAAATGATTGCAAACGAGAGATTTGTATCAATAAGGTGTCAAGGGGTACCACTGAATGTATAGGGAACTAATTTCTTTTCAACCATAGGCTGTTCGTGGGGAAAGTTTATTTGCTTGGATGATAGTACAAGCAAAAAGAAAAGGTTCGACACTGCAAGATTGCTGATCTCCACCCCAATTATGGAGACAATTACACTCATAAGGCAAATCAAAATTAATGGAAGCATATACAAAGTGAAATTTACAGAGGAAGAATTTACCAACAGTTTCTTCTCTATGAAACAAGATTTTATTCCTTTTTTTAATAGTGAGTTAGAGGATAGGGAAACATGGTCTACTAGAAGTGTCTCGGATATGCAGGCTTTAGAAAATGAATGGAAAAAGGAGGTGGTTCAGATTGGGCACTCAAGTGAAGAAGATGATGACATAATACGACGTATGAAAGAGGAAGAAAGAAGACATTCGGTACATGCTAGCAAGGAACAAGGGGAACTAGTTGAAATAGGGGGTGACAACCTAGAAAAAATTCAAAATTCGAATGTCGCTAACAGAAGTACAAGGACAGTTGGGGTGTTAAAATGGCAGGTGGTGTAGGACTCAATGTCAAAGAGTATAGAACTAGAAATAGAAAAAATGGATCACAAGATGAAGCCCAACAAGTAGCCGGTGAAGGAGCCCACCTCGCAAATGGGAAGCCCAATGGGTGAGGAATCTACAAACATGGTATTGGCCCATGTAAAAATAATAAAGGAGAACCCAAATACAAACAAAAAGAGGGGCACTTTTAGAAATGGAGAAACTGCAAAAGGAAGTAACGGTGAAGAGGAAGACATCTTCTAGAAGGGTCATGAAATGGAAAGAGGCCGTATAAAAGAGTGGATCAGCAAACAGCTAGGGGAGATCACCTCAAAGAGAGAGAAGAAGGGTTAGATGATGTAGCTTGGTGTACCTCGAATCCAAAATTGGGGATGCGATGGCAAATAGAAGGAGAGAAAGAGGGAAACAGAGCACGCAACAGACAATAGGAAACCCAACACCAACGTTCCTACCGAACCCAAATGGAAAAGTCGCCGGAGACTCAATAGGAGACAACGATACATAGAACTACAATAGATATTTAAAGAATCAATGGCAAACCTAGTTGGCGAAGGAGATATGGGATTTGGCGACATGGCTCGGAGCAGTAACAGAGGACAATAACGAGGTGATTCAAAGAATTGGGGAGATGGAGGATAGAGACAGACGAGTAAAAAAAACCATGGTGAATCGAGATAGTGAAGATAACAAGAAGGTATGTAAAGATCCCAATGATATTGATGTCATTTAATATTAGGGGTCTTGGAAGGGTACGGAAGAAAAGACAGATCATGGACTTAGTTATGAAAGAAAAAATTCAGTTTTTAGCAGTACAAGAGACTAAGATGGAAACAGTAGATAGAAAGACTTGTAGAAGCTTATGGGGGATAGAGGATCTAGATTGGGTTGCAAAGCCTTCTAACGATAGATCAGGAGGCTTGCTATGTGTCTGGGATTCTAAAATACTTAAGAAAAGGAGACTATAGAGGGTGATAATTTTATTGGGGTGTATGAACTATGGGGAATGGAGGAGACACCTGTATACATAATAAACATATACTCCCCGTGCCAACTCACAAGTAAAAGAGCTTTAAGAGAGGAGCTGCAAGGCTTAATTATTAGTAGAAGCGGGAAATGGTGCCTAGCAAGGGATTTTAATGCTGTGAGAAGACCAAAGGAATGAGCAGGGTGTAATTTGACATCCAGTGAAATGAGGGAGTTTGATGCCTTTATCCATAACACTGAAATGATTGACTTGCCTCTGGTGGGGAGAAAATACACTTGGTATAATTCAAATGGGCAATACATGAGCAGGATTGATAGATTTTTATTATCAGAAGAATGGATCTCCAAGTGGAGTGATGTGAAATAGTGGGGATTGAAGAGGTCAGTATTGGATCACTGCCCTATTGTGCTGAAAAATAAGTAGGTTGATTGGGGCCCAAAACCATTCAAACTTTATGATGCTTGGCTTGAACAACCAGGATGCAAGGAGGTGATTATGAATGTGTGGAATAACAATGAAATGAAAGGGTGAAAAGGTTTTCAACTCAAGGAAAAACTGAAAAGAACAAAATTAGCACTAAAGGAGTGGAGTAGTAAAATGAATATAGAGATGGTTAGTATAATAAAGGAAGCTGAAGATGTGATTGCTTCATTAGATAAGAAAGGAGAGTAGAACCAATTGTCACCTACTGATATTGAAATGAGGAGAAATAGTTTTATTGACTTGTGGAAGAATCAAGGAGAGGATGTGGTAAGAAAAATCAAGAAAGATGTGGTTAAAAGAAGGCGACGCGGATACAAAATTCTTCCATAGATGTGTGAAGGGAAGATTGACAAGAAACGAAATCAATAGTATCCGAATCAATGAGGAACAGCACACAGGGGTGGAGGTAATAAAGCAAGAGGTTGCTAAGTACTTCCAAGATTTGTTTTTAGAAGATAGATGGAAAAGACCAAAGCTTGATGGGATAAGCGTTAGGCAAATATCACAGACTGATAATGAGCTCCTCACGGTTGCATTTTCGAAACAGGAAATTAAAGAAGCAATATGGAATTGCGACTCATCAAAATCTCCAGGCCCAGATGGATTCAATTTCAGATTTATAAAGACGATGTGGGAGGTCATAAAATCTGATATAGTCAACTTTGTACAGGAGTTCCAAGAACATGGTAGATTGGTCAGAGGGTCAAATGCTCCCTTCATTGTGTTAATATCCCAAAGATAGAAAATCCCCAAAGAATTGAGGAATATAGACCCATCTCACTCATAAGAGTCATATACAAAACCATTGCAAAATTGCTAGCAAACCGGTTACAAAAGGTGTTACCCAAGGTGATCAGGGAGCAGCAAATGACTTTTATTGAGGGACGGCAATTAGTGGAGGGAGTAGTGATTGCAAATGAGATTATTGATGAAGTCAAAAGGAAGAAGAAGAAGGGTTTTCTGTTTAAAGTTGACTTTGAGAAAGCTTACAATAAGGTATGTTGGGATTTCATTGAGTATATGTTGATGAGGATGGAGTTCTGCACAACTTGGAGAAAATGGACACAAGAGTGCCTAAAATCGAGCTCGATTTTTGTTCTCAATAATGGAAGCCCGACGAAACAATTCTCGGTTAATGAAGGCATCCGACAGGGAGATCCGTTATCCCCATGTTTATTCTTAATTGTCGCAGAAGGGCTAAATGGAGTAGTGTCATCCGCAGTGGAGAAGGAGTGGTATAAAAGAGTGACAATTGGCAGCGGAGATGTTATGGTCACACATTTACAATTCTTGGATGACACCATATTCTTCGAGGAGGCACCAAAAGATAATATTTGGGTGATCAAATGCATTATGAGGACTTTTGAGTTGGTCTCAGGGTTGAAGATAAACTTCCAAAAAGCCAATTGATGGGAGTGGGAGTAGAGCAGAATTGGAGTGCCAAAATGGCATCTAGATTGTGTTGCAAAGAAGAATAGCTATGTGGCAACCAATGGTGGAGTCCATTAAAAGGAAGTTAGTTAGTTGGAAGGGTAGGCATTTATTTATGGGAGGTCACATCACGCTCATCAATTCAATGTTGTCAAGTTTGCCTGTGTTCTTGATGTCAATTTATGTAATCCCAAAAGGTATAATGCATTTCATTGATAAAATACGTAAATACTTTTTATGGGGAGGGATAGGAGAAGAGAGCAAAGTAAATTGGGTAGGTTGGGAAAGAGTGTGTAAAAAGAAAGACGAATGAGGATTAGGAGTGAGGGACTTGAGGAAATTTAACTTGGTATTGATGGGAAAATGGTGGGGATGGCTTGCTGAAAATGGGGAGGGTTTGTGGAAGAAAATAATTGTTGAGAAGTACGGAAAGGGAAGGGGACATTGGCAGGATTGGATTTTTGAAAATAAAGGAGTAGGATCAATATGGTGGATGGATGTGTGTGGTCTCAACACAATGGACGGGGAGAGCAGTGGTTGGTTGAAGGAGGGCTTTAGGATCAATATAGGGGAGGGTAATACTGTTAGTTTCTAGTGGGACAAGTGGAAGGGAGAGGGGTGTCTTGCTAACAAGTTTCCTAGACTATATCTTTTATTAACAGGAAA